GTTTCTTGATTCAGATGCTGGTTAACTAGGTAAATTCATTTTGTGAAAATTCATCAAGATATATATTTGTGATTGGTTTGCTTTTCTATATGTATGTCATACTGCAGGAAAAAAGAAGAAAAAGTTACAAGTATATACTGCTGTTATAGTGAGGGCATACCATCTTTTGACTAAGGCCAATTCTATCCAACTGTGCTTGGATCCCAGGCTTTTTTGTTCTTTAATATTCCAGAGCCCTAACATATTATTTATCTTGCTTTTCTTTTATATCTTTAACATCTCCTTCTCCACTAGGGCCACCCCACCAGCATTTAGTCATATTCAAGACTCTCTAGGTAAAATAATCACCACCATCACCAGCACCACTACCACCTTCCTTTATCCAAATATTCCCTTTAGTTATTATTCTCTATTCTCTCCTTATACCATCAAAATTTTTAATGAAGGATGTTTTAACTCCCTGACTTCCATATTTTTCCCTTTATCCACTGCAATTTGGTTTACTCCCCCGCCCCCATTCACCTAAATCTGTGTTTGCCAAGTTTCTAAAATAGCTTCTATGTGTCTAATCCAATGAACACCTTCAATGCCTGTTATTTGATTTCTCAGCATTACTTGCTACTCTTGACCATTTCTACCAGATGGAAAAACTCTTCCTTGGGCATTTATGACCTACTGGCCTCTGATTTCCCACCCAACTTCTCTGGCCACTCATTCTGTTTTCATTGTGAACTTTATTTCCTCTACTCACTTTTGAAATGCTACCTTGACTTCAGATATCTCTTCTGAACTAGAGCTGTGCATCTGACTGCCAGGCAACATTTTCATTAAATGACTTACAAGCATTAAAAAGTCAATTAAGTTTAACATCTCCCTCCTTAATGTTCATCTTCCTGTACTCCTTGTCTCAGTAAATAGCACCAACTAGTACCCAAGCCTGAAACTTATATTCAATTCATAATTATTGAACAAAACACAGAAGCTGCAAAATTGTGGGCATGGCTTCTGTTTCTGGTATCATGGTGGACTAGATATTTGTGGGATAATTGTCCTGCTGCAAATGGCCAGATATTGAATCAAAAACATTTTTTATGTTTTTCTTGGTTGTCAGAAAATAGAAAAATCTCCAAAGACTCCTCTTTGCCACCAAGTGAAGAGAACTAAATCTTGAGCAGAAACTAGAGCAGGAATCTGTATACAACCTAAAGAGAAGGGCTGGTCTGAGTGCAAATGCCAACAGTAACTCTGTGTGAGGAGGTGAATCACATACTCCTGCATTTGGGGGACACCTTTGAAATGATTAAAGTGGTCCCAGGTTGCTAGCACTCCTGGGCACATAGCAGAAGCTGATGTAAATCATGTTTAAAACAAAGTGTTCTCAATTTAAGCCATGAGAATGCCAACATATTATGATCAAGGGAATATAAATTTACAATCTATGATCACCAAGTATACAAAGATATAAGCTGTCATTGAGTGAGAGAGATAAGAAAATAATACAACTTTTTTAGATATTGGGATTGTGAGATACTGTTTAGAATAACTAGGTAAGAAATGTTGGAAGAAATAAAGTACAGAACCACAAAAACAGGCAAGCTATAAAAGACTATCAGGAATAATGAAAAAGATCTGCATATCAATTAAATGGCAATTCTAAAAATAAGTAATTTTTAGAAATAAAAAAGAAAAACTCAAGCCCTGGCTGGCATAGCTCAGTGGATTGAACACAAGCTGTGAACCAAAACATTGCAGGTTCGATTCCCAGTCAGGGCACATGCTTGGGTTGCAGGACAGGTCCCCAATGGGGGCCACATGAGAAGCAACCACACATTGATGTCTCTCTCTCTGTTTTTCCCTCCCTCCCCCTCTCTAAAAACACATACATATATACATACATACTCACTCAATATAGGGGTTTAACAATTGATGCAACACAGTGGAAAAGTGAACTGGTACATTTGGCTGAAGAAATTACTCAGAATGCAACACAGAGGTAAGAAGATGGAAAATATAAAAAGAAACTAAGAAATATAGAGAACAGATGAGGAAAAGAAATATTTATTCTGAACCCTAAAAAAGGCAGTAGAGAGAATTGAGGAAATGAAATAATTGAAGAGATAATGATTGATAAATTTCCAGAAGTGATCACAGGTATAAATTTATTTTTCCGAGTAAAAGAAACCCAGGTATAGGTATAACATAGTGAAACTGTAAACAGTAAAGACAAAAAGGTTCCAAAAGAAGCCAGAGAAGAACAGATCATCCATAAACCTACAATAGCAATGATGAAAACCAGAACAAATGGAATATTGTCAAAATGTCAATATAGTATTATAGACCCAACCTATTTTTAAAGAATTAAAGTCATATAAAACATTTTCAGATAAACAAAAATAGAGTTTACCACCAAGAGACCACCATTAAAATAACTTCTAAAGATTTACTTTAGGAAGAAGAAGAAGACTCATAGAATAATGGTCTGAGATATGAGATGGAATGATAAGTAAATAAAATAGCAAATGTATATGTATAAACAAATATCTGTGTAACATAATATTGTGGAGAGAGGTGACCAGATTTAAAGTGTCCTGAGGTCCTTGGATTGTATGAAGGGAAAGATTAATATATTAATTTAAGCCCTGGCTAGTATAGCTCAGTGGATTGAGCCGGGCCTGTGAACCAAAGGGTCATGGGTTCAATTCCCAGTCAGGACACATGCCTGGGTTGTAGGCCAGGTCCCCAGTAGGGGACAGATGGGAGACAACCACACAATAATGCTTCTCCCCGTTTTTTTCTCCCTCCCTTCCCTTCTCTCTAAAAAATAAATACAATCCTTTAAAAAAGATATTAATTTCAAGCTTTGTCTATTATATATATGCATGGTAAATTTCAAAGATAACACTAAAAGAATAGAAATTGAACATATAAATTTCACATGGATGAAAAATTAAAGGATAGATTGTCTGTTATTTGAAGAGCCAAAGTCTAGCTATGTGAAGTTTACATCAGACATCTAAAATTAAAGAACAAGGAAAAGGATTCGGGGAGAGAGAGAGAAAGGAGGAGAAAGAGGAGGGATAGAAGGACAGGGGAAAGAGAAAGGAGAGAGAAAAGATATATCAGGTATCAGTAAAAAGAGAACTGGCAGAGTTACTTTAATTTTTCACAAAACAGATTTAAGACAAAAAGCAGTATTGGTGATAAAGAGGGCCACTACTTAACATGAAGATTAAAATCATTAGAAAGAAAATAAAATAATTATAACTTGTATGTGCCTAATTAAATAATCTCATAATATAAAAAGCAAAAATTCAGTTTCAAGGTAAAATGAACAAATCCAGAATTGAAGGTACTTCTTGTTTCTTACTGTAAAAAATCATAAATAAAAGTGAGTGAATACAAAACTGCTAATAAATACATTATCTATCAACAATTGAATGTAAAAAACAAAAATAAGGAAACAAGCAGAACAAAAACAAAATCATAGAAACAGAAAATATTTTGAGAGTTGCCAGATGGGAGAGGGGTTGGGGGCATGGGTGAAAAAAGGTGAAAGGATTAAAAAGTACAAATTGGTTGTTACAGAATAGTCATGGGGATGTAAAGTACAGCATAGGGAATATAGTTAATAATATTCTAACAACTATGTATGGTGTCAGGTGGGTAGAGATTGCTTGGGGTGATTACTTAGTAAGTTATGTAATGTGTAATCACTGGGGTGTATACCTGAAACTAATAAAATAATGTATGTCAACTATAATCGAAAAATAAAAATGATTTTAAAATGGAGGAAAGTGTGAGTGAATACATTCACAAGGTAACATTTGTATTGCTTGTGAGATTAAAGATAATTTTTCTCCATTTCTAAACTTTTTCTTGATTGTTGTAAGAATTTGTATAATTAAAACTGGTTTTCAAAAATGAAGTATGGAGGTGAAAAATTTAGTTAATTGAGGGCAGAGGGTGGGCTTAGTTAATTATGGATTTACTATATTTTGGGTAATTATATGCTACAGTTTAGTTCCTACCCTAATGTTTATTAGTTTGAATACATTTTAACAATTACAACTTAACTTCTTGTTTCTTTGTATTATGCTAAAATGTCAAGTGATTTATTCATCAGATGATTTACTCTTGAACTTAAATGGCTCAAGCATCCTCCACTGATACATTAAAGAATCTGATTTACCACATAGTTTCTGTTTCAAAAATAAGAATAAAAGAATTTTGAAATAAATGCACAATAATGCACTCCAAATTTAAATGTGCTATTACTGATTGTTAATGGCTACATCATTCTGGATAACTGTATCTGCTTCTGCCCAGCCACTGATATGATCACTGTAGAGATTGGGTACCCTTAAAAAAAGTGAGAAAGATACAAATTGGTAATGCTTTTTCTCATATTGATACTCCCTTGCACTTAATTTTTACTGATATTCCTAAAACTGTATTCAACCTTTATTTAAGCCTTTTGAGACATGATGTGGTAAACAATAATTGTATGAAATAGGAACAGATCTTGTATACAAATAAAATAAAGCATAATGTTAGGAAGCTGGTTCTAAAGAAAATAGGCACAGGATTGTTTTATCACAGTAATGAAAACGGAGACTCTGAGTATATCATCTAAAAACCTAAACTGTAAAACCTAGTTAGTCTATTATACAGAATATATTTTTCATAGTTGTTTAAATTTTACTATGTTGGGAAAGTAAAAGTTATTTTAGAATGCATTATTACATTTTGAAAAATATAGAAAAATGACAGAAATTTTAAATTCTTATAAATGTTTTGCCCAATAGATATTTTACAATCTTTTGAGATTTGAATATCCAGAATATTCAGGTAGTCTAATGCTTTTTCTGTTTAAAGACAACAATAAAATAAGAATGGAATGCAATTATCTCCAACTCTTTGATATAAAAATAACAAGGTGAATAGTCTAGAAATGAAATCTCAAAGACTTCAGAGTAGATCAATAAAACTGAATTTCAATATACTTTAAATTATCATTTTATTATTTTTCTTTCTTCTCATTATTGTTTACTGTTTAAATTTACCAAAAGCACAAATCATTAACTGTACAGTTTGATAAAATCTCACAAAGTGAACATATCCATGTAATGAGCACACTACAACATTAACCTTTAAGGTGATAAATCACTAAACTTGAAGGATTAAAACCATCAACAACCACTACAAAAAGGCAGAGTAGTAAAGAACTAGCACGTGTAAATAAATCAGGTAGCAGGCCTACTTGAGATGAAACAATTTTGGGCAGGCATTTTACACCACATAAGGTTTCCAAAACATTTGAACATTGACACAATGTGTCTTCCTGAGACTTTGGTGGGGGGGCTTCCTACTGTGTCCCTCACTCAGGAGTAACTGTTCATTTCAAAGCAAACAGCTGAAAAAAAAATCAAAACTTCAGAACCAATTAGATTGCTTAGCAACATTTTTCTTCTTTCTTAAGCTACCTTCGTGTAATTCTCCTGTCACAAACTGTGACCTTACATGCTAACTTTAAAGTTGAAAATACGCTTTTCGATGTTTTAAATGCTTTTTGTTCTTTCTCTTGAGAAGCAGATAATTTCTTCTCACTTAAAATTGGAATTGTAAGACATCTCATTCCTTGTCTGGTTATAGAGCCCAGAGGTTACTAAAGATGATGCGAGATTCATACGGACTATACCCACCGTTTACCTTGTAATTTTTTAAAGCCATTTTCAGGTTTGGGTCCCGAAATTATTTTATTCTTCGAGAGCAAAAATATTACTGGGTTCATTCAGTGAACTCCTTCTTAGGTTTTTTTATTCTTTGTACGTTCAACGATTTCTTCGACCCACCAATAACTTTCCCAGTTAACAAAAATAGTTTACACAGATCGCTTTTTGTTCGGGATTTACAAGCAGTTTAGCCACACACGATTAGCAACATTAAGCAGGGAAGGGTGGAGGGGTTCTTCTATTCAAAGAATCCACAGACTGCGGGGGTCCCTCATACCCAAATGAGGCAACAATGAAAGATCCGCAAAACTCAGAACCGTTCCTGTAAGTCACCGACGCCTGCTCTGATTGCAGGTTGCAGGAGCATGCCGGCTCGGCTGCCTGTGTGGCCGTGGAGTAGAAGGATCCAGGGAAGAGGGTCCCACTGGGGACGCCTGAGAGTGGGCGACTGTCACCAGCCACCCCCACCACGTACAGGAGTAAACGCTCCGCATCCCGTCACTAGGGTAACTCTGCAATCCGACACCTAGGCACAAAATACTGCATTTCAAACCACCGCACTCCCAAGAGACGCATCACTGCACGGTCACGGGGACTCCAAGGCTTCCCAGACACCGCCATCCCACGGGTGCCTAATGCGACCGGGAAAGAGCCCTCTCCCCGGGCCCCGGGTCTGAGGCTAGGCAACCCCCCGCAACCCGTCGCGCCGGGACTTCGTTCTCGGCACGTGGCGGCAGTGATTGTCCCCGAGCGGTATCCCTCCGCGCCCCCCCGCCTCAGTCTCCCTCTCCCTTCCCGGGACCCTCTGAGTCGGGGCGCCGCGGAAGGATCGCACGCACGCGCGCACGTCCCTCCGTGGCCGCAGAGAACCGGGGGCGCAGCGGTGGAAAGCAATCGCGCCGCTGCCGCTGTCTGCACGACTGGTCCTCAGCCTCCCAGAGCGGGTTAGTCAGCCCCGCGGCTGCGGGCGAGCAGCCGGGTCCGCGTGCTCCGAGGCTTGTCCCTCACCGCTGTCCCCGCGTCCTCCCACCGCAGCTCCTCGGGGAGGGGGGCGGTCGGTGCTTGCGCAGAGCCGCCTCCTCCCCGCCCCCGCCCCGCCCCCCCTCCGCCGCCGCCCGCTACTGCCGCCGCCGCTGCGCCTGCTGCTTCTCGCCATCCCCGCTGCAGTGCGAAGGGCTCGAAGATGGCCGGTTGGCAGAGCTACGTGGATAACCTGATGTGCGATGGCTGCTGCCAGGAGGCCGCCATTGTCGGCTACTGCGACGCCAAATACGTCTGGGCAGCCACGGCTGGGGGCGTCTTCCAGAGCATTACGGTGAGGACCGGGGGCGGCGCGGATTCCGGTCCCCGGACAGGAGCGGTGCCGGCCGGCTGTGGGGGCACCGCAGCGCGGGCCCGTGGCACAGAGGGCCGCGCCGGCAGGTGTGCCGGACGGCCGGCGCCGAGGATGCGGCTGCCAGGCTGGCCGGGAGGCCGAGGCCCGGGGACGCCCCCTTGCTCGGGGCTGCGCTGACAGGCGGGGGCGGCGGCCGGGCTCTCCTCGTTCACAGAGGTGGTCTGACTGAAGCTGGGGGAGGGGGCACGCACCAGCTGGGGCGGGTGGGGAGGGCCCTTTTTTTTCTCTTCGTGTGTCTGTCTCAGGTACCCTGGAAGCCCTGAGGTTTGCTTTGAGTGTCCCGGGATGGAAACGAGGGCCTGAGGGGCCGGGCCGGGCGGGGGTCCTCTGGCGGCGGCGGAGGCTGCCACTGGCCCCGCGTACGGACGGCGCGCCTCCCGCCCCACGGGCAGTGGGAGGCGGCGGCTGCCGGGCCCCCGGGATCCTCGTAGCGACTTTGCGTAGGTTTGCCGGTGTCCAGGCCGGTGGGGCTTCCGAGGAATGTGCGCCGACAACGTAGGTGGATTCGTGAATCTCGACTTCAGCTCTGGCTCCATAGGATTTTTTTTTTAATTCTCCAAGATGGCGAACTGCCATTGATTTCTCTCCTCCTACTATGGAGACTCATCGATATACCGTTATCCCCAATTACGCAACATATCTCCAAAAAAAAGGGATGCTTTTATAGGGTTTTCTGTAATCTGTGAACACCAAAGGGACACTTCACTTCTCCAAGTCCCTCCCTCTTTCGTGATGGTAGTAAGGAACTAATGCAAATTTATGCTTCACAGTGCCTGATTTTGTGACTTGCTGGTTTTAATTTGCTTGCCACATGGGTGGGGAATAATTGTCACTAAGCCTTCAGTGTTACCTTATTATTTTGTCTCTTTCTGCACGAAGCTTTTTCTAAAATTGTGACGACTGTGTCAAATATTAGACCATTCCCTTAATTTCTCAGCCTCACGCTCTCTTTCTATCCAATGCCAAAATTCGTGCCCCCCGTTAGGGTGCTGCTAAGTACTACTAAACACGGTTTGAGATCTGACTGTGTAGAACTCAGTTCCTGATGCTAGTACTTTAAGGCCTCACATGACCACAGGGGACTACAGTCCTTACAGAGAATTGGCATCTGGTGATCAACTTTTTTTCTTCAGTCCCCTGGTTTTGTGTGTGTGTGAGTTCTCGGTCTGGCTGGGAAGATTGCAGGAGTGTGCTTGGGAATGGCTGGGGCCTGCTATGACTCTGCAGTTCTGATGGGGGCGACGCCTTCCTTCATATTCATGGAATGTTGGAATGCATGTTTTCTCCTTTCCGGTTCTGGTGGCTACCTCAGTTTCTTTCCAAAGCCCCCCTCCATTTTCTCTGTTCTTTTACCGTGGCCTGCTGCAGTACTACTGAAAGAATCCTCTTTGCATTTGCCGAAATGAAAACTGATTACTGACGTGGGAGGGGAAGGGAAGTTGGAGAGAAAAAGGAGTAGTGGCTGGAAAAATAGGAGGGAAATATGAATTTGGGAAAGCACTGAGGTTGGGGGTTTTGAAGAGTTCATGCTGTGGGGAGTTGTCAAGCCATTTGAAGCAGAGTAGATGTGAACAGAGACCTACTAAGCATGAAGCTATCAAACAACTTAAAATTCAGTGCAACATGACTGACTGTAATGTAACTGAATATGATAGACAAGTTGTTGCTGTTAGTTTATGGGTGAGTCTTTACCATTATATAAGCACTTCAGGTCCCACCTGACTTGATACAGTTTATAAATAACTCTTCATAGTTTCTCTAATGTCAACTACCAACTGTTTAGAGATTCTTAACTCTAATTCTCTAATTTAGAATTCTTAATTTGATCTTTAGTTGGCAGACTACAGTGTGAACTGTGAAATCTAATTAACTGATAGAACATGTAATCATATAGGAGTAAATGATTCTTTAGAAAAGACTAAAACTTGATTTTATATTATTGAGATGTCAATGTCTTGCACTGGTAGTAAAAACTTGGCACACAGTCTTTCCTGTTATATTGAGGCCTGAAGGAATCAACTATATTGATTTTTTTTCTTTTTCTTTTTTTGGGGGGCAGCCAGTAGAAATAGATATGATTGTAGGAAAAGACCGGGAAGGTTTCTTTACCAACGGTTTGACTCTTGGAGCAAAGAAGTGCTCAGTGATCAGAGATAGTCTATACGTCGATGGTGACTGCACAATGGACATCCGGACAAAGAGTCAAGGTGGGGAGCCAACATACAACGTTGCAGTGGGCAGAGCTGGTAGAGGTAAGCAGGGCAGTCTTTTGGTTAAAAGTTGCATGCCACATTACAACTTATTAAGCGGTTTCTTTAACATTTGGAATAAAAGTGTTAGTCCATAATGGCTATTAAGGTGGTTTTTGTGAACTGCCCAGCACTGAAGGGAGGCACTGCTTTAAATTTACTAACTCTACAGCAGCTGCATATACAGCCTAGCCTCTGAGATCCTGTCTTTATTCTAAAATAGAATATTCATATCTACTTTCCAGTTTTGGCTTTAGTAATTGAAAATCTAAATTTGTCCCTTAAACTGCTTGACATGTCCAATAGTAATCTTATGGTGTATTCAGATTGTTAAATCACTGTTTGGTTACTTTAGTGTCTTTATGACATAAAGTTTATGTCTTTCACCTTTGGATCTCTTCCTTTTCTTTCTTGCTTACATTTTAATCTTTCATTGCTCAGCATAAAAATGGAAAAATTAACATTGACTCATTTTTTTCTGTTAGGAACATTGCTGGGGAAGAGAGAAATGATTAGAATAAGGGTTTTGGAGTAAGTTGTCTCTTTATTAAAATATTTTCAAAGACTAAATGTGATTTAGACTTGAAAAATAGGAAATTATATTTCATTTATACAGTTGATCTAGAAATTGTGTTGTTTCCTGACTTGTCAACATTGCAGAAAATCTTACTGTACTTCATATGTCTTACTACTTTTTTAAAATTTTCAAAATTGAGGTTCAATATGACACTTAATTTATAAGTATATTTAAATGTGCTAACCTGTGTAAATATTTTGTGAATAAAGAGGGTTTGTGTAGCCTCATACAGCAGACTTGGCACATATAAGTAAGACCAAATCTACCATGTAAAGGAACTTGAAGCTTCTCTGAGCCATAATTTACTGTAATGCTCCTAACTCCTTGTGATTGTCCTAATGGTTTCTCTTACTCTAACGTGAATTGATGAGTATGAGAATTTCTTTATAGGAAAATTAGGTGGTAGAAATAATATACAAATCTCTTTAAATATCAGCTGAGCTCAGATAAATGTTAAAAAGCATCAACCATGTGACATAAAACCAGAATGAGATTTCTATACCATATAGCGCTGCTGACATCTAGTGGCAGTGAATATAAAATCTGACATACATATATTTTGGGGCTAGATCTTTGAACTGCATCATAGAAGAACCTGTTGTTGGAAATAGTAAATCTGTTTCAGGATTTTACACTCAATTAAAAACAAAGCTAGAACAGTAAGGATATCAGTAATCGTAACACTTAAGTACTTTTAATTTGGCCTTTCCTGAATAGCACTGAAAATGCTATTTGAAAATTTGGTCTTGGTTTTCCTCTGGAAGTAATGGACACATTTAGCCTCACTGGTAAGACTTAATAGTTTACACTTAATCAAGACTGTTAAATTGGGAGAATTTTTAAAAGTAATCACCTAAATTTTTTAAGTTTATATTTTTGGGGCCAGTCTAACATGTATGTCATACTAACGAGAAGTTTTTGCCCTAGAATGGAAGATAAATGATCACACTCTCCCTCTTCACTCCACCACCCAATTAGTGTAAGGATATTTTTATAGAGCACTGCAGCTTCATTGACTGGATTTTCCAGATGCAGTTAAGTTACAGTTTTTCACATATAATTAGTTTGAAAATTCTCCTTTTTTGGAGACCTAGTTGACTTCAGTGCTTGACAGTTCATAGAAAACTAACTTAATGTTAACTTATTAATCGGGGTTCTGTCTGCTAAAACTTATGTGACTTTTCTTAATTAACACTTCTTTTGAAACACTTTTCTTCTTTCTCTTTCAGTCTTGGTCTTTGTAATGGGAAAAGAAGGGGTCCATGGAGGCGGATTGAATAAGAAGGCATACTCAATGGCAAAATACTTGAGAGACTCTGGGTTCTAGCTGCTAGGCAGACTGTTAAGTATTAGGGGAAAATTGCTCTTAAACTTTCCTAGCTGTAAGCTTGAGTCTTAATTCTGGAAATTTTATTAGCAATGCAGGGTGATGGGGTATGAACCTGTGTCTCCTTTGTATCCCTCTGTTGGTGGGGAAAGGTTATCTTTCTTTTTGCCCTCCCCCCATTAAATAATTCTGTTCACTTTGTTTTGTTTCCTTGTGTACTCCAGCATTGGTTATAGTCATGGGAAAGGAAGGTGTCCACGGAGGCACACTTAACAAGAAAGCATATGAACTCGCTTTATACCTGAGGCGGTCTGATGTGTAAGCAGCCTCTCCCCATCTACCTAGCAACTGTCTTCATCACCACCCCAATTATAGTCACAGTGCTACCAGATTGTATGGTAGCTAAGTTTTCTTTACCTATTTTCTAATGTCATGATTCCTATTTGCCCAATGGATCATTTGTATGTTAACCACTGTATGTAATCAAACCTTATCTGGCAACATAATTGCAGCACAATAATGATTTGCATGATACCTTGAAATTTGGGGGGAGGGGGCATGCCAAGTTGGGCATCGTTTTGTTTAGCAATTAATGGGATATTGATTACTAAAATAAGTTAATATAAGCAAGGTGCCGGTGTACAATCTCTAATTTGATCAATGTCTTTTTAGCACTTTGAGCATTTACTTAGCTCATTTAGTCTTCCTTTTGTAGCGCATGGTTGGGAGGAAAAAGTGCATGCATCTTTCCTTCACTCCTCTCTTTTTCACCCCCTCCCTTTGCACATAAGGTATTTCTTTTGCTTCCATCTTATTTTATGCAGTGCCTGGTTTATTTAACCAAATAATCCCTTTTGTTGATGAACTATTGAGAGCTGCAGTAGTTTGCTTTTAGTATTGTTGTTGCACGTGAGTAGACAAACCTTTTTTCATAGTGTCTACAGGACATATGAAGAGTGCAACTGCAAAATGAGTAAAAGGCACTTCCTCCCATGACCTCACAGTAACTGTACTGATCGAATCCCCAGGGACATTCCATCATCGCAATAGATTAGGTTTTTGTTCCTGTCCTTTTCTTTGCATACCAACTCTACTCTGTAGTAAAATTGTAAAAGGCTGCCATTATGGACATTAGGTATCCCAACATAACCATCTGGAGTGTGTCCAGTTTGTTCTTCATAGGACCAATTTTTATTTGCAGCTTAAGTTTTTATATGAAGTTGCATTATTGTGGACTTGGCTGTCTTGTGATGAATTTTTTTCATATGTATTCTGTGCCATACTGTTGTTAAAATGAACTGTTGCTATTGTGAGATGGATTTTAACTGACCTATTAAAGGTTTCTTTTGAATGGCACTACTTAGGGACATTCTAGTATTTGCTTCTATTGTTTGGGCCTTGTGGATAATGTACAGATTTAAAAACAAATCTTGTTGCTGATTTGTCCTTTTCTTTCCCTGCACTTTGTTACATCTGGGATACAGTCTAACTCATCTGATTTAATATGCATTTAAAAAAATGCCATAACTATTAAACACCTTGTTTACAGACAGATGAAATAAATTTATTCCAACCAAATATTCTAGACTCCTGTTGTTTATATAAATTGCTGGCTTACTATTACAGTTGATTTTTGACACAATGGGAATATACAGAATAAGCCAAACTCTGCTGCAGGCATAAAATCTTTTTTAAAAATTCAGCTGATGGCCTACTCCAGTTCCTGCAGTATTTATTATAAATAAAATGAGAATTGTATTTATAAAATAGATAAAAGGGAATTTCTTTTTAATGGGTTTTATTCCACTAAAATGGCTTCTAGTCATCTCAGGCTTATTTACAGGCTTACGAGAGGAAGATTAATATATCCACTAGGAAGTAAATCAGTCATATCTCAGTGCTGGATGGTTTCAGAACTTGTCACCCTGTACACATTTCATTTTGATGAGCAAAAAGTGTTTTTGGACTTGTCGCACTTGCTAGAATTTGTATGAGTCATGATGCCGCCTTGCAAAAGAAAATGCTTCATCCTTTGGTACTCATGGGTTTCAGCACTTATGGTCACAAGTTCCAGAATGAATTAACAGCAAGTACCCAGGTACCACTGCAGTACTTTTCTTGCTGGTCTCTAGATGTGAAATGTAGTGAGCAGTAGGGGGCCCAGTACAACAAGGGTTTTTGCATTGTGGATTCTTCTGGGTTGACAGTCATATGACTTTAGGCTATGTTGGCAGGCTGAAGTCAGCCACTTGGGACTCTCACAAAAGAGAAGACATTCCTTGGGCAGGATATAAAATAATTTGGATGTTCTTGCAGTTTCTGGCTTTGGAGTGAAGTGTTAACCATAGCTATGTAAATCAAGTTAATCCCAGAGGTTAGAAGGTTCCTGAGATATATTGAAGTTTAGCAAATATGTTACTTTAAGACTAGATTAAATCATTACCATGAACTATCAACAGAAGTTCAGAGCAGGGGTGCTCAAAACTTGGTGGGTCTAAGTGAAACTGGGGATTTGGTTATAATGCAGATTCTGGGCTCTGGAGTTCCACCCTGGAGGTGGAGATTCCATAAGCCTAGAAGATCCTTTAGAAACAATTGGCAGGTCAGTCTGAATCACTTTTAAGCAGCCCATGTGCTACCCTTTGAGAAATAGTGGATTAGGGAATGAGAATTAGTATCTTTGCCTTACTTAAATTACTGTGCATAACTAAAAGTTTTTTCTTTGGCAGTGTTGTCAGGCAGTAGTTCTGCATTTGTATGTACAGGGATTTGGAAATTTGGAAGATAGAGGTTTGGGGCTACTTTGGTAACTGGGTGGGCATACCTTAGAAATTGTAAAACAAGAATAAACCTCAACTTTCTAACTCATTAAGATCCCTGTTAGGAACAAAGGTTGATGAAATGAAAATTTGGTGATTGGGTTGTGATGATTTGACATGTTATGGTAATACGCATTCACACTTTACTTGTTAAGAGTTGTTAGGGTAACTAGAAAGCAGCAACTAGAATTGTGAAACCCATAATGAATGAACCTGTAAGTAAGTAGGTGAGGGAGAGTGTGTTGAGGGTGTGTACAGATTAGTAGTAGTTGGTAGCTGGCATCTGTTATCATTAAAATAGTAAATAATGAAACTAGTCACTGGTCCCCTACCTGCAATTTCATTGGAAAAACACTTGTGATAACACTTGCACATGTTTCCTTTGTGCTTAGTCCTAGGAATTTAATGTAAAGAAATGGAGCTATGCAAATTCATACACCAGAATATCCATCATACGGCATTACTTGTAATAAACTTGGAAAACAACAAAATTTAATTTTCAAGGTTATGGGTTGGATAATGGTTGTCCAGAGGATAAAAGTCATTGAAGAGTGGCACAAGAAAATGCTCACCAATGAATGTTAAAGAGGATATAAGATGTTAGATACAGTATACCCATATTTCATTGTGTATAATGCACACTTTTTTGCTCAAATTTTTGAGAGGAAAATAAAGATATGCATTATACATGGGTATAATGATTACATACCATGGGTATGATAATGGGCAGATAACCCTGTGTATAATGTGCACAAAACTGGTGTGTATTATACACGGGAGTGCATTTATACATGGTGAAATACAGTAAATATAGTGTACTATATATATATATATATATTTTACATATGTATTTCTGAAGGTAAAATATCAAGATAAATTTATCTCCAGGGTAAGTTTTCAGGTGACTGTCCTTTTATAACAGAAAAAACTTTAATTATGAAGGTATTGAAAAGAAATTGGATTTCACTTTCATTTAATGTCCTAGTTATACCATGAAGATACTATAAAAGATTTCAAGTGAATATCAGGACTAGCCCAATCACAGACAGTGTTATTTAAGACACTTCATAAATTTTACAACTAAAAGCAACAGCTTGGAGTTTTTTTAAAAAGTAATTTTTACCTCAGAAAAACTTCTAACTTAAAGGAACCAGGGTCTTTGATCTGAACTGTGGATTAAGAACTGAGGGAAACAGTATCTCATATATGTCACAGTGACTTTTCCCTGTTTAAAAAAAGTATTTTAGGTATGATGTTTTTATTTAAAAACTATGAAAGCTATTACATTGTCATGTATTTTTGTGTCAGGTACTAAGTTCAGTGTTTTGCCCTCATAACCCTACCTTAAGTTAAATGAAATACAAATGACCAAATTCCAAAGCTCTGCTAACTATCATAGTAAACAACTGTTCTGTTTCTCATGCCTTTGTTTTATATTTAAAAGATGGAAATGAGGTGGTATCAGATAGTAGACAATGACTGAATGATTTTTAACTTTTGGGGGAATTACCTAATTGCTTGTGAGTAGTTAGTTACTTTGTATAAACTTCTAAGGTGATGTGTATTTATCTGATCTAAACTACCTTAATTGTTACATCTTTATTGAACTTTAATTTTTTTAAAGATTTTATTTTTCAAGAGAGGGGAAGGAAGGAGAAAGAGGGAGAGAAACATTGATGTGCAAGAGATAACATGGATCGATTGCCTCTCTTGCCCCCAACTGGGGACCTGGCCCGCAACCCAGGCATGTGCCCTGACTGGGAATCAAACCAGTGACCTTTTGGTTTGGAGGCCAGCACTAAATCCACTGAGCCACATAAACCAGGGCTGAACTTTTATTTTCATAAGCAGCAATAACTATTTTTTGGTTATTTATAAAAGTTTCTCTAAAAAGCAGTTCAGAAAATGAAATTCTAATAGTGTTACATTTCTTTTAAAATTATTTTTTCTTATAACAAAGGCTTATCTCCCTAGTGTACTCATCATTTTCTAATATGCTTTTGTTTCCTAACAATTTACCATATCAGTGCATATATATACTTTATTCTTTCGAGGCTGTGTAACTATCTGCTGTACTGTAAAGGTGTACTATAATTACAATAAGGTACCAAAATGTACACTATTGTTGGAATGATTTTTAACTTTTGGGGGGAATTACCTAATTGCTTGTGAGTAGTTAGTTACCTTGTATAAACTTCTAAGGTGATGTGTATTTATCTGATCTAAACTACCTTAATTGTTACATCTTTATAGCACTGCATAGAAAAATAAGGCTAATGTGGGTAATATTATAGTACAACAAATAAAGTTCTTAAAGTAGAAAATGTGTTTATTAACATTCAAACTCCCTTCATACAAGGCCATATAAAAATTCTTAGCATTTTGATTATACATTAAGTCTATATTTTATATGTAGTTACAATGATGTATAATTTAGCTTTTCATAATACATTGTTTACATAGATCATTAGTTCTGTTAAACATAAGCAATTATTTTCAAATCCAATATTTGAACAATTTCCTCTGTACATAGTGTAGCAGGGCTAATTAGCATAAGATGCTCTTTATTAAGAGGTATATGATCTGTGTGTTAAAAGTTGAAGTTTGGTATTTTTGTATAGCATTTCCTTTTTGCTTTGATCACAACACAAAACCCTTAAGGATACTGAAATTCAGTAACTTAAGTCCAGTGACATATTACTTTATCTGATGACTCAATTTCATACATAATACTATAGTATTAGAAACCTTAAAACTTGAAATCTGCACCAATATAGACTGTTCCTTTCAGGGTAAGAAGACTACTTGGGAATAGAAAGAAGAAAGATGGCTTTGAGTTTGTGCTGCCAACAGGAGGAAAAATGCTAAATTACCTTGTTGCCCCTCCCTAATGATGGCAATTTAGGGTAATATCAGATCAAACATTCCAACTCAACAACTCGAGGTGACTTTGTGGAAATGGAAGTTGGCTTAGCTCATGCTAGGCAGCCACAGCATTGACCTTGTGTGTAAAACACAAAATTTGCATACTGTGATCTAGGTCTTAATTGCAAGCTATACTGAGAAAAAAAATTAATGTTTGGTTATATTTCATTCCAAAATAAGAGCTGACTTGATGCTTGAGTTACAGCAACAGTCTGTTAATACTTATTAGTAAAATGAAATACAGTCCAGATAAACACTAGATTTTTTTTTAAAATGGTTTCAGTAAGATTAAAGTGTAGAATACTAAAAAATAAGTTATTTCTACAGAAATCTGTGAAGGGAGCAAAAAAAATCAAATTATATACCTAAATAAACATTTTGAAGGGAAATAACCCAATCACCCTCTGATTGGGTCAAACAGTATTTGCTATGTTATAATCCCGTTCACCATTAGACTGCAGTTGAACCACAACACTATGTTCGTTAATCTCGTTTTCTGCATCACTACTGTCAGTATCTTCATTGTCATCTTCCTCATAGTCTGAAGATTCTGTCAGGTTTTGATGTGAGCGAGATTCTGACAAAGCCCCAAATGACTGGGTGCTGACAGAAGCCAAAGGTCGAAGTAGAGGGGTATGTTCTGACACTTCGTTTTCTTCTTGACTACTGTCTGTGTCAGAGTCTGAATCACCTTGAGAAGAAACAACTTTTTGCTTGCAGACTGGGCAGGTTTTTTTGGTTTTAGTTAGCCAAGGATCTACACACTTGCAATGATAAGCTGTTGAAGCAAAATACACATCTTTAGGTAGTATTCTGGTTTCAAACATTTAAAATTTTTTACCATGATTATGAATGTTATGAAGTATGTAAATTTTTATAAATACAACTCCATCCTATAACAATTGAGATCACTAATTAGTACAGGACCTGGCTTATGGTGTGCTAGTAACTATTTTCTGTCTCCCCGTCTAATATTGAACCTAAATATAAGTTTACTATGTGAATTCAAAGAAATATGTGATTATTCATACCATGGGAACAGGGAAGGATTCTGAGCTTATCTCCATCTTCATATTCATCCAAACAAATGGCACATACATCATATTCATCTCCTATGAGAGGAAATAGTAAATAAAATTTATTAAAAAATGGAGAGAAGTGTTCTTTTCAAACTATTAAAGTTGGATCTTCCTTGGTCAGTTATTTTAAATGCCTTTTGTTTTACCTATATTTAAGCAACACCTTTTGTTTTCTGTCAGATTGAGGACATACTTCAACTTAGGGAAACTGAAGTTTTAATTTAAATAATTGAACTTTTACCTAAAATAAATTAAAAGATGTCAAATTTGTTTACCTTGATTACCTTTGCAAAAGATTTTGGTAAAAATAATTCCATTAGTTTTATATAACTATTCTGAAATATTTTATACCACAGACACAAAATTTCACTATTTAGATTTCTTAAAGTCTCAAGTAAAAATGGAAACATGTTATGCTCAATTTTTAAATAATATACTGGTTAATAAAAACAATTGGAATGAGACACATTGAGCTTTGAATGTCTGTTCCATCATTTGCCAGTTTTGTGTTGCCTAGACAGTTACTTAGCCTTTGGCATTCAGTTCTTTTGTCTGGGAAAAGATTCCATCTACCTTGCAGGGTTGTGAGGATGAAATGAGATAATGCAAGCAAAGGGATAGGCATATAAGTGTTCACTAAATGGTGTTTATATTAATGTTAGTGCCCTTTGTCATTTCTTATTGTTGAACTTGCTACCTTTAAATCATGAATATTTATTAATTCATAGCTCTTTCTGGAATTCAAGAGTAGTTGTATGTTTTTTAAGGAACTGGCACTCTTATGTCACATGACACATAGTCTTGAGTCAGCCGTGGCTTTTTATGTAGTGGCAATGACCATTGTGACTGCTTTCAACTCATTACAAGAAGCTCAGGGAACAATTAAATTTAGTGGCTACCTCACACACATGGCAACAACCTTGGTAGGCATATTAGAAATAAAGCCCATCTCTGGATAGCATCACAAGGACACCAGAAGGAGAAGATAATAAGCAAGGGACTAAGAACCTATGTGAAGAAATAATAACTGAAAACTTACCTAATCTGGAGAAGGAAAAAGACACACAAGTCCAAGAAGCACAAGCAGTCTCAAACAACATAGACCCAAAGAGGCCCAACCAAGACACCTAATAATTAAAATGGCAAAGCTTAAAGACAATGAGAGAATCTTTAAAACCACAAGAGAAGAGCAGTTACCTACAAGGGAGGTCCCATAAGATTCATCTGATTTCTCAACAGAAACATTTCAAGCCAGAAGGGATTGTCATGAATTATTCAAGGTGATGAAAAGCAAGGACCTACAGCCAAGGCTACTTTACCTAGCAAGGCTATCATTTAAAATTGAAGGAGAGCCCTGGTTGATGTGGCTCAGTGGATTAAGCACTGGCCTGTAAGCTGCAGGATCATTGGTTTGATTCCTTGTCAGTGTACACGCCTGGGTTGCAGTCCTAGTGCAAGAGGCAACCAATCGATGTTTCTCTTGCACATTGATGTTCTTATCTCCCTCCTTCTCCCTCCTTTCCCCTATCTCTAAAAGTAAATAAATAAAATCTTTAAAAAAAATAGAAGTAAAATTAAGGAGAAATAAAGAGCTTCCCAGACCAAAAAAAGAAGCTAAAGGAGTTTGTTACCACCAAACCGGTATTGCAACAAATTTTAAAGGGCTTGCTTTAAGAAGAAAAAGAAGAACGAGGAAGAATTTTGAAAAATAAAATGGCAATAAATACTATCAATAAGCACTTTATGTGTAAATGGCTTAAATGCTCCAATCAAAAGACACAGGGTAGCTAAATGGCTAAGAAAACAAGACCCAATATATATGCTATATACAAGAGACGCACCTCAGAACAAAATACAGACTTAAAAGTAAAGGGATGGAAAAGGATACTTCATGCAAATGGAAAATGAAAAAAAAGCTGGGAGAGCAATACTTATATCTGACAAAATAGACTTTAAAGCCAAGGCCATAGTAAGAGATAGAGAACACAACTTAATAATAAGGGAACAATCCAACAAGAAAATATAACCCTAGTACATATTTATGTACTCAACATATAAGCACCTAAATATGTAAAGTAAATATTGATGGTCATGAAAGGCTGACAGAAATAGTCATAGTAGGGCATTTCAGTGAATGGATCTTATAGACTTAAGTCTTCCTTCTTGGAGAGGAAGATGTAAACCTGTCATTATTTGCAAATGACAAGATACTGTACGTAAAGAATCCTAAAGATTCCATGAAGAAACTACTAGAACTGATAAATGAATTCAGTAAAGTAGCAGGATACAAAATTAATAAATCAGTTGCATTTTTATATACCATAATGAACTATAGAAAGGGAAATTAAGAAAACAGTCCCATTGATAATTGCTTTAAAAAGAATAAAGTACCTAGGAATAAATTTAACCAAGGATGTAAAAGGCCTATACTCAGAAAATTGTAAGACACCAAAGAAAGAAAATGAAGAAGGTACAAATAAGTGGAAGCAGATACCATGTTCATGGATAGGAAGAACTGACATCATTAAAATGTCTGTACTACCCAAAGCAATCTATCAATTCAACACACTTTCTATCAAGATACCAAGGATGTATTTAACAGAACTAGAACAAATATTTCAAAAATTTACATGGAACTACAAAAGGCCCCAAATAGCAACAGTGATCTTGAAAAAGAACAAAGTTTGAGGATCACATTACCTAATATCAAACTATATTGTAAGGCCACAGTAATCGAAATAGCATGGTACTGGCATAAAAACAGACACATAAATCAGTGGAACCAAACAGAGAGCCCAGAAATAAAATCACGCTTTTATACTCAATATTTGACAGAGGACGCAAGGACATACAATGGGATAAAGATAGTTTATTCAATAAATGATGTTGGGAAAATTGGACAGAATTGCACAGAAAAGAGAAACAAAACACCTTCTGGTGCCACACACAAGAATTCAAAGTGGATTAAATTAGGCTTAAATGTTAAGACTCCAAACCATAAAAATCCTATAAGAAAACATAGGCAGTAAAATCTCAGACATTGCTTGTAGCAGTATTTTTTTTTCTGCTATATCTCCTCAGGCAAGGGAAACAAAAAAGTAAACAAGTGGGACTACGTCAAACTAAAAAGTTTTTTGCACAGCAAAGAAAACCATCAATAAGATAAACCCACTGAATGGGAGAACATACTTGCCAATACATCTGATAAAGGAGATGTATTTGCCAATACATCTGATAAGGGAGTAAATTCATAAAGAACTTATAAAACTCAACACCAAAAAAAATCCAATTAAAGAATGGGCAAAGGGGCTAAATAGACACTTCTCCACAGAAGATATACAGATGGCCAACAGACATAAAAAAAGATGCTCAATGTTACTAATCATGAGAGAAATGCAAATTAAAACCACAATGAGGTGTCACTTCACACCTGTCAAAATGGCTATCATCAATAAATCAACAAATATTGTAGTGGTGAAAATGTGGAGAAAGGGGAATCCTAGTGCACTGTTGGTGGGAATGCACATTGGTACAGTAACTGTAGAAAGTTGTATGGAATTACCTCAAATTAAAAACAGACTTGTTTTATGACCCAGTGATTTCACTTCTAAGAATTTACCCAAAGAAACACAGAACACTAATTCAAAAGAATATAAGTACCCCTATGTTTGTTGCAGCATTATTTACAATAGCCAAAATTTGGAAACAGCCTGTGTCCATCAGTAGGTAAGTGGATAAAACAACTATGGGTTTCTCTCCCTCTCTCCCAATAAAATCTTTTTAAAAGGTTGCCCAGACTGGTGTGGATCAGTGGCCTTAGTGTTGGCCTGTAAACCAAGAGGTCACTGGTTCAATTCCCAGTGAGGGCACATGCCAAGGTTTTGGGCCAGATCCCCATCTGGGGGCATATGAGAGCAATTGATTGACATATCTCTCATACATCGATGTTTCTCTCCCTCTCTTCCCTCCATTCTGTCTAAAAATAAATAAATAAAATGTTTTTTTAAAGGTCCTTTAGAAAAAAAACCTACTACCAGACATTTATACAATGGAATACTACTTTGCCATAAAAGAAAATTTACCTTTTGTGACAGCATGGATAGACTGGGATAACGGTATGCTATGTGGAATAAGCCAGCCAGATAAAGACAAATACAATATAATTTCACTCATATGTGGAACCTAATGAACAAACTGAACTAACAAGGAAAACAGAGAGACTCATAGATAGAGAGCAGGTTGACAGCTCTGGGGGTAGTGGTGGGGGTAGCTCGGTGGTTTAGGGGGTGGAGAGGTTAATTACAAAGAAAAAGGGCTAATGGATATGGACAACAGTGTGGTAATTGTGGGGGAGATTGAGTGGATGGAGGTAGAAGAGGGTATAAGGGAGATAAACGGAAATGGAAAAAGTATAATAATAAATTATTTAAAAAATGAAGCACGTTTGCTCCTTCAAAACCAAGAAAACAACTAAAAGGCTATTATTATTTCATATGTGCTAGAAATGGCTGTCAATATTTAAATCATTTAAGTATTAGTCACATTTCTGAAAGACCTTCCAAGGTGAAGATCAGTAAAATAATTAGGAATATTTAAGATAACCATGTTCCCACAGTATGGTAAATGTATGGGAGTGCTGACCAGCTTTTGTGGTGGGGCCTCAAGTTGGTGGTTTCTGTAGGTTTGAGAACAGGCTATTCCTGTGGAAGGGTTCCAAAAGTCAAAATCTTTGGTTTGTTGACAAATATTTCCAAATTGTTAGAAATTCCCCTAACGCTAACATTCCCATCACATTGTAAGCCTATATGAATTCTTTTAAGACTTCCATAGTTTGGTGCTATAACTTACTGGAGTGATGAGTACCCATAGAAGTGTTTTATACTTCCCTTCATTTTTCAATCTAATAGTTGCATCTATAACTATAAGAAAATTACAACAATTAGATTGGGATTTTTTCCATTATTATCTATGCATACTTTTTTCAAAACCATTACAGTATACTAGAACATGCATAACAAATAATCCTCTTTGTT